TATGTTCATTGCTGCATGTATAATTCAGCAAAAAGCATACAGTTATGACACAATAAGTAAAAGCAATTATTGTGCATTCGAACCCAAAACTGCAATATAATGTGACATAAAAACCTGCAATGTGTTTTGTCACATTGTTCCTTACTGGAAAAGTTTTATGTTTTGAACATTATTTTAAAAAACATTACTGAAAAATGGACTTAAGTTAATAGAATTTTAAGATGCTAAAACTTATTTCATACACTGTAAAAGTGGTAACCTGCAATTGGTATGTTAAAGAGCTATATCTGATCTTACCCTTCAATTTATTTTTGTTGGTGCAACCTAATACATTTAGGTTGATTTAGCAATGTTAAAAAACATTTTAATTGAATTAAAAACAAGTAGTTTAGATGTTAAAGCTATTTTTTTAGGTTACAAATTTTTTTTTTGTGTGTACTTTAAGCTGTTTGTGTGACGCATCTGAAGCTGATCTGACAAGCAGATGTGTGAATGTGGTAATTAATGTGACAGGACCGTGTTGGGGCTCAACCTCCACACCTGAGTCAATTACTGTGTGACAGGCAGAGTCTCCGCCCCGCTGACTAGATCTCCTTGCTATGATGAGAGGACAATACACTAATGTCAACACCAAACATTTCTAGTGTGCATTACAAGTACACTTTTTCCTTAAAGCAGCTAGATCACCCAAAAAAAAAATAAAAAAAATAATCTGCCATCATTTACTCACCCTTATGTCATTGCAAACCTGCATTAATTTCTTTCTCAGATATTTTGAAATGAAGGCCAGTAAATAGCGACAGAATTTTTCATTTTTAGATTAACTTTATGGGATTGATTATGCAGAGACGGGAGTTTTACACTGATGATGTGCACTATTATGAATCAGGCATGTGATCAGCTAGAGACAAAAAAGCAGGAAAATCTAACCACGCCCCCATTACTTATTATATATATATTTTAGCACATTAAAAGATATATCTTATATTTTAATAATACTATTGTCCTGTAAAAAATAAGCAGCATTTAATAATCATTTATTTATTTAATTTATTATAATAAAGTATTAATAGAATTGTTATTATTATTAAAGAACCTGCCAAAAGTTTGGAAACATTACAATTATTAATGATTTTGAAATATATATCTTCTGCTCATTAAGACTGATTTTATTTGATCAAAATAAAGTAAAAAAAAAACAGCAATATTGTGAAATATTATTACAAATAAAGTTTTCAATTTTAATATATTATAAAATGTGTTTAATTTTTGCTGTTTTGCTGCAAAAACTGTTTTGCTGCTTAATATTTTTGTGGAAACAATGATTTGTATAAGATTTAAAAAAAGATAGAAATTAATTTTATTCATCATGCATAAAAGTGATAAAAAGTGAGTGCAGACATTTAAAACGATTTCTATTTAATAAATGCATTAACACATTTAATTGATATATTTGATAAATACTAATAAATGCTGTTCATTAAACTTTAAATTTATTGTGTGCACTCACAATATCAACAAAACGTTGTCCTTTTATAAAATAAAGAAAACAAACATGATGTGCTTTCTGCCGTCTCGGTCTTGAACAGGAGCGCATCACAAAAATGAACCGAAACTCAGCGAATACATGCCTCACAGTCAGGATAAATATATCTATAGAAAGCTTTAAATTACTACTTAAAGAAATAAAACAAATAGAAAACAAAAACTCTTTCATTATGATCATAATCCATAAAGATGCATTTCTCTCTAAAGGCACGTCTAATGAGGAGATGGCGAGTCAGGATCGACAACTTCATCCTTGTGACAAAGACTCAGAAAACACTAGTTTATTAATAAATAATTGAAATATCTCCTTACTATTTCCCCCTGACACATTCATGGTAATTACTTTTGCCGGTGCTTTGCGGCAAGCTTTAGCCTGTTGCGTGCATTTGAACGCCAGGCCTGAAATGCAGGGCTCTAAATGGTTAATTTCAACATTTGCTAATAGGCCTACATTATTAAAATCAAAAGTTGCATCTGTTATTATTATTTAATGGACCTAAGCAAACTAACATGAACTAACATTGAATAGTTGTAACAAAATTGAATAAACAATAAATGCATAGCCCATTGTAAGTTAATGTTAGTTAGTGCATTAACTATCATCGATAATGGGACCTTACTGTAAAGTGTTACCAATTTGCAGTAACACCTTATTTTATGGACCAGTTGGCACTATTAACTATTTGTTTATTGGCATGCATGTTACTAGAATATTGGCTGTTCATTAGTACTTATAAAGCACATATTAATGCTTTATTCTGTATGACTATATTTTAGATGCCTTAATCCTTAAACTCCATTCCTAAACTTAACAGCTACCTTACTAAATATTAATAAGTAGCAAATTTGGAGTTTACTGAGGCAAAAGTTAATAGTTAGTAAATAGTGAGAACTTGTCCTCAAACTAAGGTGTGACCCAATTTTCATTTAACAGTGTATGAAACGTAATGTTACTTGTGTGCTGTTCAAAGTTTATGTAGTCAGGTTACAACAATAAATAGGCTATTTACTGAAACAGTAATACACATCTTAAAAACTCTTGAGTGTGAAGTGTGATTGTCTGAGGAGCGCTGCACAGGAGGAGGGAGCTGATGTTTGTGGCTGTCATTATAAGGGTCTGAACGGGGAAAAGGAGACCATGCTGTGCCATAACCCTTCACCCTGCTCCATCACGGCTCTGTTTGCAGGTTATGTGTGCGAGGCTCATTTGAGATGCAGAGTTTGCCACAGGCTCAGGATAAAGACACACAGACACACAAAGACTTCACCGTTAGCAGGAAGCAATGGATGAGGCCCTGGGCAAGAATCAGACCCACAGACTCCAGTCATAAACGATGACACCAAGCAGTGAACAGCACTTTAGTGCAAAACACCAAAACATTCAGCCAAAAGCAAAACTGAAAATAAAGTTTTTGTAATTACATTTAGTTTGCTACAAGCGACAATGCTCATAATAATACTAACCCAAAGGATTTTCAACCTGTAAAACAAAACAGCAGGTGAAAATCCAACAATATACTTGCAACAATCCCATAGACCAGCGGTGGCGAACTCCGGTCCTGGAGAGCCGCAGCCCTGCAGAGCTCAGCTCCAACCCTAATAAAAACTCACCTGCCTGTAGCTTCCTAGTAACCCTTCAGACCTTGATTAGCTTGTTCAGGTGTGTTTGATTAGGGTTGAAGCAAAGCTCTGCAGGGCTGCGGCTCTCCAGGACCGACGTTCACCACCCCTGCCATAGACTGACACTGGACGAAGAACCTGAGCCATATTTAGGAACCAGACCAGATCACAGAGACTCTTTTGACTGGGACCAACAAGCCACTACCTCAGCAACATCATAGCAACAATTAATTGTGACTTTTTTATCTCACAGTGTTGTCTTTTTTCTCGCAATTCTGACTTTTCTTCTTACAAATTTGCAAGTTTATATCTCAATTAAGATTTTTTTCTTGGAATTGTGAGAAAAATATTTGCAATTGCCAGTTATTAAAGTCCAATTCTGACAAACTTTTCTCAGAATTTTTATCTTGCAATTCTGACTTTATAACATGCAATTGCGACTTTCTGAGAATTCTGAGAAAGTCAGCAATTACCTTTTTTATTTTTTTATTCGGCGACGGAAACGGGCTTCAATGTATTTTCACTAAGGAATAAAAAAAAAAAGTTGACATTTTATCACAAAATTCAGAGTTCCTGCAATTTGAACTTTTTGGAATTTGGATTTAAACTTATCTTATTTAAACTTAAAAAAGTCAGAATTATTAGATAAAAATTAGCAATTACCTTTTTTGTTATTTATTCCTATTTTTTATAAGCATCGTGAGGGGGAAAATCAGAATTCTGCTATATACTATGAATTGTATGAAAAATAGTCAGAATTGTGAGATGATAAGTTGCAATTACCTTTTGAATTTTTTATTCTTGCAATTGTGAGTTTATATCTCATAATTCTGAATTTTCATTAATTTCTCACAATTTTGAGATTAAAAGTTGCAATTACTTCTTTTCCTTGGTGGAAATAAGCTTCCATATGTTCTTCTGTAGACTGTAAGTACAAAACAAGTCCATGAAGCCTGGCAGTGGACGGCTCAATTACTGTTGACGTGAGCGAGACACTGAAGAGATAAAGCAGAGAGAGGAGTGTTTCAACATTTCCATAGTGGACAGACACGAGAACGTCCACTGTAAGACGGTGTGTTTTTCTCCGGTCCGTCAGTGTCTAATGTGCTTTCAGAGTGCTCTCTCATGTGTGCGCGGGGCCCCACACAAACCTGCACCCCGCTCTCCTCGACCAGCCTCAACACAAAAGAGCTCTCCTCTGAGGAGCTGCGCCTCGCTCTCCTCTCACAGGACGGCCCTCCAGGGCTGGGGGATTTATGGCTATAGCTCAAGCATATTCTTTGAGCATATTTGATAGAGATGCTTATCCCAGCACCATGGGGACAGTGTGTTACAAGCCTCACATCGCCGCCTTTCATCAGCTTTTTTCTCATCAAAAAAAGGCCCCTGCCCACACAATTACCTCTCAACAAAGAGGCCTGCATATTCCGGATGTGCTCAGGACAGGACTCATGTGCGTTTTTCATGTATTTTTATCCAGGTGGTCATGTTATAAGAATATTTCAAACACATATGTGACCCTGGACCACAAAACCAGTCTTAACCAGTCCCCCCCACCCCACTGCTTTGCACTTTGAGTCAAATGCTCGATAGATGAAAAGAAATGTGAATAAGAACTATTTTAGATTTTTTTGTTATTTATTGGTTACTAATTAAATGTAAGTAAATGGGTGACTTTGAGCAAGCATGTGATGTTTATTGGGGACATTCTCAAATGCGAACAAATAAATGTTTTTAAATAAATAAATACATTTGATAGAAAATAATAAAAAAACAGAAGCAGTTTGAGAAGTGTCCTCAGACGTTTGGGCTGGAGTGTATGTGAGACTCACAGCAGGATCCGGTGGAGGGAGTCTCTTCTCCATGGTCTTCAGCCAGTGTCGCAGAGCCCTGATCTGCCCTCTGAACTCACTCTGCCACTGACTCCACTCCTCTGAATCCATCCTAGCAACAGTACAAGAACACTTTCACCTCACATATACGGTGGGAAGACTGGTGACAAAGAAGCAGCTCAAAAGAAGCTCAAAAATGAATATCAAATATATATTATTTTCATGGGCCATTAACAAACCATTAACTAAGACTTTTGCTTCAATTAAGTCCTAATTTGCTGCTTATTAATAGTTAGTAAGGTGGTTGTTAAATAGGTATTGGGCAGGATTAGGGATGTAGAATATGGTCATGCACTAATAATAAGCATGCTAATAAGCAACTAGTTAATAGAGAGAATTGGTCCCTATACTGAAGTGTCATCTGTGTTTTTTTTCTAATATCTTTATATTTTATGGATATTTTTCTGTCTATTGTTGTCTGTTTTGTTGACTAGTGTGTGTAGTTAATCTGTCTATTATTACCCAGTGCAAAAGAAAACAACGTTTTGACAACAAGCCCTTTAGTGTGTCATAATAGAATAGAATAGATAATTAAACAGTAGTGTATACAAGGCTGTGCTGTATTGTGAATGCAGTATATTGTTAGACATGACAGAGAGTGGAGTGACTATATTCAACACAGCCTCCGTGCCTTAATAATTTCATAAAATTCACACAGGGCACAAATTAATCAATGTAATGTTGTCTTTCTGCTAGAAGACAACAACAGATGTGAAAAGTCCTGCTGGAAGAAGAAGAAGAAGAAGAAGAAGAAAAAAGCAGCCTGAGATGGTTTGCTGGTCTAGGTTGCTTTAGTCTGGATTTTTATCAGGCATATGGTTAGCAGGTGTATCATAGCTGTTATATCATGGATTTGAGCACAACATGAAATTCTGCTCCATTTTAATATAATCAGCGCTAGCAGAGCTTGCATCTTGTCAATGTCAGTAATTAATGTCAGTAATATTAATATGTCAATAATATATAGCAGTTTAGGTGAAATCTCCATGAAAGGGTTAAAGCCTATAAATCATAACTGTGACGATGAATTCAATGGAAAAAGGTTTGACATATTTATACTGTAAAAAATGGCCGTGAATTTAACGGTAAAATACTGTAAAAATGCTACAGTAAAAACCTGTTAAATGGTTAACGGTAAATTCCCCTACTATATACGGTGAAAAACTGTATTGGACATTACATGTAAACAGCCTCCACTGAATACTGACCGCTTCTCTAATCATAGTGTCATAGTGACATGGATGATCATTTAGATTAAACACAAGATAAAAGATAAAACACAAACTCTACAAAGTCTGGAAGTGATCTTTCCAAAATAATATTTATTTACACTTGAGTATAGTGCTATTAACTCACTCTTTATTACCACTATCTCGTAAGGAAAAAGTTCATCCACCAGTTAGTATTTCATACATCTTTTAGTCATATAATCATCCATATATTGGTGTAAATTCAAACATCTATTCTTCATCTTTTTAGAGCACTTTATAGCAAGTTAGTAAAACATGCAAAAAATATTTTACATATACAACATCAAAAAAAGCAAAGAAAGAAAAAAGTCAAGTCAAGTACAATTAATATAAAAACCAGCAAAGAAATACATGGGAGGCAGCAAATGACCAAAACATGTTTTGTTTTGTTTTTTTGGCACAGGAAATGTACAAATGAAAAATTAAATTGCCGTACACTAAATGAGCCTAAATACATTGTCAAAGAAGTAATCAGTATTTATTTGTATTATGTAAATGTGTAATGCAATACCATGGTTTGCATACTGTATCTAATGCATTGAGTGCTTTATTTAATAACTCATATTGGGGCAAGAAACAATGTAGGCAATAGAACTCTTGATTCTACATAAAAGTCCACATTAAGATAAATTGAATGGATCCAATTCTTTTGTTGTTTTGAATGATTTTGTGTAAACTCCAAAGTCCAGCTCCCGGCTGATGAAAACAGGAGCAGTCCACTAAAGTGTCAGTTCTTGATATGATATCCAAGGCAAACTTCAAGGTAGCCCTAGCCTCTAGTGTCTTCATGTAAATGGCAGATGCAATGGAAGGAGGAAACCTCCAGTGAGGCTCTAAAAACAACATTAAAAATAGACTGTGAAGCAACAAAATGACAAAAGGGCAACAAAACAGTGAAGGGAAACAAAAATATCAAACATAGGTGCATACAATGCAAAATCATAGAGAGATGGTGAATATTTAATAAATACCTGAATGTCTAAGAATGTGGGCTTCTCATGAGCATCATTCATCTCCAGATCCAAGACCAAATTTGAGGCATCATCAAGGTGTCCATATCTAGTAACCGATGATCTCTGTGAGAGAAAAAACATGACAAAACAGACACTATAAACGACACAAGAAATTTTATATGGCTTAATGCTGTCAAGAAAATCCTTTAGAATAAGCAGACATACAGTATGGCATTCAATTTGTTAAAAAAGAAAAGATAGGTAATGAGACAATAAAAATAATATAGAAAAGTAAAATCAATGTGCTCATTAGGAAACAGCGGCAATAAATGTAAATTTAGTTCAACTTACAAGTACTACATTTCATCCAGATCTGCCCAGATGTTGTGAGTGAGGAATGGATCAGACACCTGAACCATCTGAAATCTTCATTGGATATCACATCAGTGGAGGACTGACAGTAAATCTGGGCCTTGAGGACTCTTTTTTTTTTTTAAAGGACTTTGGAGACGGACTGGATCCAGTAAATGAAAAATGGACTTTCATAACAAAAATAACATCCAGTTTTAGGGGACATTAAAATTGGCTTGTTGTACAAAGTGCTTGCTCCTCCTTTAGTGTTTATGTATAGGTGTAGTGGTTTTTTATATTCTGTGAAACCAGCGGCAACTTTTATTTGCTATGATGGCTAGCATCCTCTAATATATCCATCCATCAAATCTATACAAATATGTAAAAACAACCACACTCTTTCTTAATCTAATTACTTTTTTTTTTAAAACTTGGTATATTTTTCTGGTACATTATGCTTAAATAAACCCAAGTATAAAAATAATTTCCTAAAATAAAATGTAGAAATGTAATAGTAAGTAATATTGAATACAGTCTAATCAGAGTTTGATTTAAAAAAAAATCTCCAAAATGTAATTTGTTGTATTTGAACTTTTCCTGATTTTAGATGCTGTACTTAGTATAAAACAAGAAAAGAAAAATATCACTTTGAAAATATGCAATATATGTATGAACTGAATTAAACCTAAATTAGACAACTATGATTAAAGCTAACCAGGCAATAGTTCTAAAATACATAAAATGGGAACTTAACCATTGCCAGACAAAAAGATACTGGTAGTTTTTGGAATGCAATTTCCTATACCAAACACATGCAAAGCAGAATAAAGTGATTATTTTTTTCTTTCTTGAATTAATTTCTGTGTCTTATCTAACTAGTGTATAGAGTCAGCATTGATTATGAAAGCTGCAGGACCATGTGGTAGGTTTGTTTTGAGGTCCAGCTTTAAAATCTGCGGCTGTAACCAGAGGAAGTATATGAGGATGATGAGAAGTTCAGGCTGAATCCAGAGCCAGTAGCATCAAAGCTGCCTCTTCTTGAACCTGACCTAGAGCCTGTCCTGGATCCAGACCGAGAACCAGAAGCAGATGCGGCACCACTGACATTGTAAGGACTGTAGAGACCTTTACTGGATACTGATGATGCTTCCAGAAGCCTAAGGCCAGATCCCTCTTCAACCATGCTTCTGTCCATGGCATCTTTGTAGGAGATCTTCAGTTTGGTTTTGGGGCAAGTAAGGTATTTTGTGTAAGCACTCACATCTCTGAGCTTTTGTGCTGTACGGCCATCAATAGCACCTTTCCTGATTGCCTCCTCTAGGGAGATTCGTCCCTCAGCCTCCGGCTCAATAAGGCCACCAGTGAGATACTGCACTTCCAGGAAACGTTGCCCTGCCTCATAGTAAAGCCAGCCTTTCTTGAGAGCCTTAGCAGCAGACATTCTGACTTTAGTGCGAGGATCCTCAAACCCATGGAAAGCTTTCTGGGCCAAGTTGAGTCTGTCAACCATTATCTTGTCTAAAAGACCCTTCTCTGTGGCTTCAGCAGCTGAGAATTTCTCTCCAGTAGATGGGTCTATTATGCCACCAGTGCAAGCCTGTGCCTCCAACAGTCTCTGGCCAGATATAGAATCCACTAAGTTCCTACGTATGGCTTCAGTGATGGAAACTTTTTCTAGGCTATCTGTATCAAGGATTCCAGCCACAGGACCGGTCTCCTCAGTTGGATCATTCCATACAGTTGCAGGAGTTTTGATGGAAGGTATGGGGCTCATTGGATAAGAGGAGGTGGAACCAAATGAAGAGGAGCGGGAACGGAAGCCACTCATGTTTCCAGATAACATATCAGCAAATTCTGTGATAGAGAGGGTGCCAGCGCGGTACTGCTCAATTGCACTCTGATCGATAAGACCTCTTGCAATAGCATCATCAATGTCATACTGTCGACCTGATCTTCGGTCAATGAGTATAGACTTTTCAACCCCTTCTGATGATGTCATTGTGATTTCTTCCCACTCACACTCTTGCTCTGAAAGTTCAAGGTAAGTCTGATGGTCAATTAGTCCTTTGCGGTAGGCTTCATACACAGACATCTCTTTACCCGAATCAGGATCAACAATGACGACTCTGCGTTTGCGAACAGAGGATTTGGAAGACGTTTGTCTCTCGCGTTTCTTTTCTTTAAGAAGCAAAAGCACAAGACCTGTGTCTGGGTCGACAATACACCTGTCCATCAGTTGTAAGTAGGTAAGATTCTCCTCGGTGTTTGGGTCAAAGAAGCCCTTGGTGTCATCCGATGGGTCACTGAGGATCTCGTTCATCTCCTCATCGAAAAAGCCTCGGTTGTAGGCCACTTCAACTGGCAATCGGTGACTCTGCTCTGGGTCAATGATTCCTCCAGTAGCAATCTGGGCCTCGAGAAGACGAATTCCATGGTCTCTCAAAATCAGGCCCTTTTTCATAGCCTGGAACAGGGAGATCATTTTGCCTGTATAAGGATCTTTATAGCCAGTCACAGCCCTCTCAGCAGACAGGAGCTTATCTTTGAACTCTGGACCGACGATTCCCATCTTGACTGCTTCATTTACAGTTAACTTGAGGTTCTTGATAGGGTCAATGATATAACCTGTGGCTGCTTGAGCTTCCAGCAACTCGAAAGCAGTGCCTGGCCTGATCATATTCTTTTTCATGGCTTGGTAGATAGAGAGTCGGTCTTTAGTAGACTCCACAAACACGCCAGCAATACAGCTTGAGCCCTCAAGATATTTTCGCAAGCTATTGCTCACCTCCTCCACTGTAAGTAATCCCTCATTAAGCTTGCTGACTGTTTGTTCATCGATGATTTTTGAGCGGAATAACTCTTCTATTGTTATTTCTTTTCTGAGACCTTTGAAGAGCAGTCTTTTGTCTCCTAGAGACAACAGATATTGCCCATCTTTGTCTACCTTGCATCTTTTTAGAAGCTGAGAATATGAAACTTTTTCATCATTCAATGGGTCTACAAAACCCTTAACCTCATCTGAGAGCTTTTCATTTGTCTCTTTGTTAATATATCCACGTTGTGTGGCAATCTCTGTTGGCAAGTGGAAGTTATATTCTGGATCAATGATACCGCCTGTTGCTGTTTGTGCTTCAAGGAGCCTTAGGGCATAGTCCTCTGGGACAAGGTCTTTTTTCATTGCTTGGAAGAGGGAGACCACCTTTCCACTATATGGATCCTTATAGCCAGTGACTGCTCTCTCTGCAGACAGGAGCTTATCATGAAGTTCTGGGCCCACCACGCCTTTACGCACTGCTTCATCTACAGTGAGCATTTCATTCCTGACAGGATCAATAATGAATCCAGTGGCTGCTTGAGCCTCCAAGAGGGCCATTGCAATGTCTGGCTTCATCAGCTCTCTCTTCATTGCTTGATAAATGCTCATCTTGGAATTTGAATCAGTCACCACACCAGCAACACTGCCAGTTCCATACAAATATTGTTTAACTCTTTGCATATCCATGACATCACGCATAGTCTTATTCTCTTTCTTCAGCAGGTTGTAAGTCTCAAGGTCGATGATACGGGCATGGTAGAGATCTTCAATAGTGATTTGACGTCTACTTGTGCTGCCGGTCTGGGTGCTCCCCCCTTTAATGATCTCTCTCTGCTCCAGAATCTCAATTATAATGATAATCATTCGTTCCTTTGTTATGTTGCCAGAACGATATTCTTCTAGAACCCGAGCCCTCTGATCTTCAGGTAGTAGATTTGAATTCATGACATCCCAGAGAGACATAGAGCCCTGACCTTCAATGGGTAGGTCAATCTGGGTATTGGATAGATCACTCTGGCTTTGTTCTTCACTGTAAAGGTATGTCTTCTCCACAACCGTTGGGGCCTGTGGTTTGGAGAGCTTTAGTAGATGTAAGCCTGTATCAGGATCTGCCATGCACTTGTCTTTCAACTGTTTGTATGATACATTCTCATCAGATGCAGGGTCAGAGAAGTACTTGCTTTCAGCAATGCTGCTAGCCAGCTGTTTGGTAACATATCCACGCTGGATTGCAGTCTCAACAGGAATACGATGACTGTTTACTGGATCAATAATTCCACCAGATGCCAGTTGCGCCTCCAAGAGAGGCATGGCATGTTCTTTGGGGATGAGGTCTTTGTCCATGGCTTGATATAGGGATATCTTATTGCTTGTGAATGGGTCTTTATATCCAGTGACAGCTTTTTCAGCAGAGAGAAGTTTCTCATGAAGCTCTGGGCCAACAAGACCTGCTTTAACAGCATCATCCACAGTGAGACATTCATTTCTTGATGGATCCACAATGAATCCTGTGGCAGCTTGAGCTTCAAGCAAGGCAATAGCTGTGTTCTGTCTGAGGAATTTCCTTTTCATTGCTTGGTAGATGCTAACTTTCTCTTTTGTAGGCTCAAGGTAAAGTCCACCAATGCTCTCAGAGCCTTGGAGATACTTGCTGACTGAAGCGTTTTTGCTGACCTCTTTTGGAGTCTTTTTACCTTGTTCCAGCAAATCATAGGTAGACTTATCAATGATTTTGGAGTCAAATAATGACTTGGCTGGAATTGGCGCCCTAAGTCCCTTAAAGCAGCCCTCTTCTTGTTTCTTGGCATCTTTCTTAGTAACAATTTCAATTAAAACCTTTATAATCTTCTCAATTGTCATTTTCCCAGATCTGTATTGCCTTATTAGGTCAAGCCTTTGCTCTTCAGTGATATAGTCAGAGTTAATGAGCTCCCATAAGGTAACTTTTCTCCCTTTGAATGGTCCACTTTGAAGTTCAACAGTTGCCTGAGTCATTGCGTCTTTGGTCTGGGCATCAGTGTACTTCATCTCCTCTTTGGCATTGATAGCTTGTTCAGACAAAGGCAGAAGCTGAAGGCCAGTCTTTTTGTCAGTGACACATCGTTTATAAAGCTGTGGATATGTGAGATATTCCTGAGTGTTTGGGTCAAAGTATCCCTTAATGTCATCACTTGGGCTGCTCAAAAACTTCTGGGTTGCATCATCAAAGCAGCCCTTTGTGCAGGCAATGTCATGTGGAATACGGTGACTTTGAACAGGATCAATGATGCCTCCGGTTGCCAGTTGTGCGTCAAGCAGTCGAATTCCTTGTTCCTTCATGATCAGGTCTTTCTTCATAGCCTCGAACAGAGAAATTGTTTTTCCAGTGTAAGGATCTTTATAGCCTGTGACAGCTCTCTCTGCAGACAGCAGTTTTTCATGAAGTTCTGGACCAACAACACCTGCTTTGACAGCCTCATCTACTGTAAGTTTTTGGTTTTTAACAGGATCTATGATATATCCCGTGGCAGCTTGTGCTTCCAAGAGATTAAGAGCAGGCCCAGGTCTCATCGTGTCTCTTTTCATGGCATCATAAAGGGACATTGCTTGTTTGGTTGAGTCTATAATTACTCCAGCAATGCAGTTAGAGCCTTTCAAAGCACTGCGCACATGCTCCATCTCAGACACATCTTTTACCAGCAGTTGTCCTTTCTGCAACTTGTTATAGAGATCTTTGTCAATAACTTTTGATTCAAGAAGTTTTGTAGCAGGTACAGGTGCTCTCAGGCCATTAAAGGCAAGCTCATTCTTTTTCTCTTTTTCCTCTGCCACAGTTAGGACAATTTTGATGATCTTTTCAACTGTAATTTTTCCCGTTTTGTACTGGCGGATAAGATCTTTTTTCTGGTCTTCAGTGAAGTACTCAGAGTTTATAATCTCCCATATGGTCACAGTCTTTCCTTTAAAACGGCCGAATGGCACAGACACAGTTGTCTTGTCAAACACATCTCTTGTTTCCTCATCTGTGAATATCCTGGCATTTTGAGCAGCCTCCTCAGAAATGGGCAAAAGTAGAAGTCCTGTTCCTGGATCAGTGACACACCTTTCTAGTAGCTGTTGGTACATCAGATTTTCTTGGGTGTTTGGATCATAGAATCCCTTGACTTCGTCTGTTGGATTTTGTAGGATTTTATTGGTGGCTGCATCAAACTGACCCTGCTTATAAGCTATTTCATTTGGCACACGATGACTATTGACTGGATCAATAATGCCACCTGTTGCTATCTGAGCCTCAAGCAACCTGATGGCATGATCCTCCCCAATGAGACCCTTCTTCATAGCTTCAAAGAGGGAGATCTTTGCCTCTGTGTATGGATCCTTGTAGCCAGTGACAGCTCTCTCCGCAGACAGCATCTTGTTGTGAAGTTCAGGTCCAATTAGACCCTCTTTAACTGCCTCATTGACAGAGAGTTTCTTGTTTTTAACTGGGTCTATTATGTATCCAGAAGCAGCCTGTGCCTCCAGCAGCACTAGCCCCGTCCCAGGAGCAATCTTCTTCTCCTTGACGGCTTGATAGATGGGCATTTTTTGATTTGGATGCACAAGCAGGCCACCAATGCAGTTCTTGCCCCGAATAACTGTTTTAAGTTTGTCTGTCTGGCTGAGTTCTTCGATTGTGGTGTCACCGCTCTGGAGCTTATCATAATCCATTTTGCTTAAAAGTCCTATTTCAAAAAGTCTACTTGCAGGCACCTTCTCACGAATGCCATCGAAGGATAATGGAGAGAAGCCATGTGTGCTGTCAACTTCATCAGAAATACTTTGACCATTGAGGACTTCTTTGCATTCTGTCTGGATGTGAATCTCCTGGGTGATTTTTTGAGCAACCTCAAGCTGCTGAAGTTTCTCACGCAGTTTCTGGTTTTCCTCAGCAAGAACCCTTTCTTGTTCAAGCCTTTTCCTCTCAAGTTCTTGCATCTCTTTCTGCTTGTTGAGCATCTCTTGTTCAGCCTCTTTCTGTTTTATCAGAGCAGCATCCATAGTGGCCTTCAGTTTATTCTTCTCATCCTCCATTTGTTTTTTTTGATGTTCCTGCTCATCCTTAAGGGCTTTTGACTTTTTGACCTCTTCTTCAAATTGGCTCTCTAACCGCTTTTTTTCATCCTCAATTTGTTTTTCCTTCTTCAGCAGCATCTCCTTTTCTGACATAAATGTCTGCTGGAGAAATGTTTTCTCCTGTTTAATTTGTTCTTGCTGAGCATTCGCCATCTGTAAACGAAGAAACAATGAACAAAGTTAAAACAATGTTAAAAAAGCATTCAGACAAATAATTTTCAATGATGTAAATATCCATTTTAAGATTAATGAGAAATCATTAGGGAACATAATCAAAGATTGGAACATTTGTAACAAAAAAAGGAACTGATTTAAAGCAATGTTAGTTTTCGGAGAGAGGGTTAACAATGACATGAGCAGCAATTTATGCCATCTTTTACACAATACCTCTTTGGACTTTTTCTGTAACTCTTCAGCCTCTTTTTTCAATTTTGACTTCTCTTTCTCAAGATCAGCAATGGCTTTGCGCAAGTCATCTGATTCTTTGTTACTGCCCAATCTCTGTATTTCCAATGTTTCAACAATTGTCATTTTCTCTTTGGTGGCAAGCTCGGTCTCATGAAGTCGGGCATTAATCTCATCTGCCTGCTTCTTGAATTTCTTGGCTTCCTCCTCAGCTCTAGACTGAGCATCACTGAGCTGGGACACCTGAAGTCTAAGTTTCTCTGCCTCAGCTGTTATCTCCAACTGTCTTCTGCGCTCAGCCTCCAACGATTTTTGGAAGCCCTCAGTTTCCTCCTCAAGCCGTTGCTGCATCAGTTGTCTGTCTTCAAGCAGCTTTTGAGCTTGCTCTTGGGCAAGGTCTTTCTGTCTCTGTAGCATTTCTGCCTCTGCTCTAAGTTTAGAGGCCTCCTGAATGGCTTGCATCTTTTCTTTAAGCATCTTTTCAGCAAGTGCTCTTTGCTCGGCAAGGTCAGTCTCTGCAATATGTCTCATGCGAGCAGTCTCCTGGGCCTCAATGCTGAGCCTGGCAGCGTCCTCTGCAAGTTTTTTCATGTTCTCAGCCTCCTCAGCCAAGAATATTTGAGTATTATCTTTGTCCTTCTGGATGAGACGTTGGTTCTCCTCTTCAATTCTGAGCTTGAGTTTGATGAGCTCCTCCATTTGAATCTTGACCTTGAACAGTTCCTCCTCTACCTGGGCTTTCTGTTTAACAGCATCGCTGACCTCGTCCTTTAGGCGATGAAGCTCATCATCTAGGAGAGTCTTCTGTTTGTCTGTCTCATCCAACCGCAGTTTCACTTTAGCGAGCTCTTGCTCAACCTGAGACTTCTGCTTAAGTGTCTGCTCTGCAAGTGTCTTGTGCCTAGCCATCTCCTCATCAGCTAGCTGTTTCTGTTTCAGTGCTGCTGACTCTGCCTGGGCACGCTTTTCTGCCTCTAGCTCTGCCTCTTTTCTGAGCCTCTCAGCGGCTTCTTGGGCTTTGGCCTGATTGGCTGCTTCAACCTCAGCAGCCTGACGCTGATGCTCTGCATCTTCTGCTTGTTGGCGGAGTAGGGCAGCCTCTTTCTCTGCCTTTTCTTTGGCCTTTTCCGCTTCTTGGGCAAGCTTTTTGGCTTTCTCAAACTCCTCCTTGAGCCTTTTCTGTACCAGGCTGTCCTCTTTCTGCTGAACAAGAACACTTTGGACTTGCTGCTCAGCTGTAATTGCTTTCTCAGCAGCCTCTTTTGCAGCGAGTATTTGCCTCTCAGCTTCTTTATCAGCATCTTCTTTTTGCTTTCTGGCCTCATCAGCTTTCCTTTTGAGACGCTCCACTTCTTCTTGAGCAACCTGGCGCTGTCGAGCTGCTTCCTGCTCTGCGGCAGTAATCTTTTTAAGTTTTTCTTCAGCCTCCCTTCTTCTGTTTTCTTCTTCAAGGGCAAGCTTGCGCAGCTTCTCGGCTTCCTCTTCAGCTCGCAGTTTGCTTTGTTGTGTTTCCTCTGCAATATTCTTCAGCTTATTCAGTTCAAGCTCCAAATCAAGCTTGCCAGATGAAGCCTTCTCAAAGTTAACTTTCAAGATACGAATCTCCTCTTCAACTATTCTTTTCTGTTTGAGAGTTTCATCCACAATTGATTTCTGTCTGTCTAATTCCATTTCAGAGGACTTCTTGAGTTGTTCGATCTTCTGATCAATGTCTTGCTTGTGCTGGCTTGCCTGATCTTCAAGAGATTTTCTCTGGTAAGCCTCATCCTCAGCTTTCCTTCTCAGGCGTTCATTTTCTGCCTCTTTTTCTTTTAGAGCAATCTCTGCTTCAGTTTTCAAGTGAGTGGCCTCATTAATGGCAGCAAGTTTCTCTTTGAGAATTCTCTCAGCTTCCACTCTCTGTCTCGCTGCTTCTTCCTCAGCCACCTGCCTCTGTCTCTTTGCCTCTTCAGCAATGGCACGGAGCTTGGCTGCTTCGTCTGCAAGATCCCTCAGTTTAGCAGCTTTAGCTTCCAAGAGTTGTTTACTCTTTTCAGTGGTGGACATGCTGTCCTTTTCAGCTTTAAACTTCAGCTGCAAAAGTATGTCCATTTCACTTCTAACTTTGGAAAGCTCATCTTCAAGCTGCTTCCGCTGCTGCTCTGCAGCACTAACATCATTCTTTAGACGGTACAGTTCATCGTCGAGCACTGATCTCTGTTGCTCGGCATGATCAAAATCAGCCCTCAAGCGGATCAGCTCCTGCTCTGCGGATAGCTTCTGTTGCGCTGTGCTCTCTGCCAGCTTCCTCTGCCGCTCCAGCTCTTGCTCGGCCATGTCTTTCTGTTTCAGGGCAGACTCTTCAGCTTTGCCCCTTTTTTTGGCCTCACGCTCAGCCTCGTCTTTCTGTTTTTCAGCATCTTCCTGTGCAAGAGTCTTTTTGTGGGCTTCTTCCTCTGCCTGGAGCCTTAGACGAAGGGCTTCATTGGCTTTTTGCCTCCACTTTTCAAGCTCCTTCTCAGCCTCCTCCCTTGCTTTGTCTGCCTCTTCCTGTTGCTTCTTGAGGCGTTCTGCCTCCTCCTGCAGTTGCACGACAGCCCCGTGCTTCTCTCGGAGCGACTCCTCAAGTTTGGATGTCTTCTCGACAAAGGACATGCGCTTGCTCTGCAGCTCAGCAGCAGCACTTTTCTGAGCTACATCTTGAGCGAGCTTGATTTGTCTGTCTTTCTCGATCTCAGCCTGCTTCATGTGTCTTTCTGCCTCCTCTGCCTGCATCTTGAGCTTCGCAAGGTCATCCAGGGCTTTCTGCTTCTGCCTGGCAGCATCTTTCTCTGTTTCAGACTTCAGCTTCAACTCTTCCTCCGCCATCCGCTTCTTCTGAGTCTCCTCGTTAACCTGCTTGTGAAGTTTCTCAGCCTCTTCCTGAGCAGCTTTGCGAAGTCTCTCTGCCTCTGCAGCCTTGTCTCTAAGCTGTCTGAGCTCGTTCTCTGCAGTGGACTTTTGCTTCAATGTAGTTTCCAGCTGAAGTCTTATGACGCGGATCTCTTCCTCTATCTTAACCCGGCTTTGTAAAGCCTCCTCCACTTGTTGGCTCTTTGATTTGATCTGTTGTTCGGAGAGGTTTTTGAGCTCGTGCAGCTCCAGCTGGATGTTCTGTTTTTGCCTTTCAGCATCCACAGCAACAATCTCTCGTTTGCTAACCTCCTCTTGCATCATGAGCTTGAGCTCCTGTGCCTCTTTCTCCGCTTTGGCAATGGCCTTGGCATGAGCTTCAGCTAGCTGCTTCTGTTTCTCTAACTCTGCCTGCATCTCAGCCATTTTTTTCCTCTCTTCTGCTTTTAGTTTCTCAGTAGCTTTCTGTATTAGTGGAAGTAAATCGTAAAGAAAGATGATTAAGATTAAGTATGACGAGGTGTTAAAGGAGTAGTTTACCCAAAAATGAAAATTCTGTTATTATTTACTCACCCTTTCATTCCAAAACGGTATTGACTTGATATTATATTTTAACTTTCTTCCATAGAACACAAAAAGTGATGCGTGTGATCTATACACACACACACACACACACACATACGTATACATATATACATACTGTATGTATCTCAGCCACTCTTTTTAACATAATAAAAGTAAATGATAACAGCAGACGTTAAACGTCCAGAGCAGATCATCAATCAGCAAGTTGCTATTCACTAGAATATTTTTCACTGAATAGCGACTAAAATTTTAACCTAACTGAATATCTTCAGAAATCTAGGAAGACAACACACACGTTTTATGGACAACTGTTATTGTGTTTCATGACTTTTGAAGCTTGAAAGCTTCAGATCCTATTCATTATTAAATGTTTCTCTTTTGTGTTCCATGGAAGCAAGACAGACATTTAGGGTTTGGAATAACATCAGGATGAGCAAATGATGACAAAAATTAGCATTTTTCAGTTAACTAATTCTTTAAGTGTTAAGATGATTATTTGGCTCAAAGAAAGACAGGCTTAGATGCAATCATGACAAATGGGGTTAAGGTAAATTAACAGTCAAAAATAATATGCAATCATTTGGGTTATGGTAAGATGATATAATTAATGTATGGAGACACATGACATTGGTTTATAACACTACACTCTCATAACATGCTCCTAAATGGTAGCACTATAAAAATCATTTACTACATTCCAGTTGAGCAAAGTGATTAAAAAAAATATATAGAATGCAATCAATATGCTGTTGCTATAAACTAAATGACTGGATGAAAACTTGGCACACAATTAATGCAAACTATCAGTGTGTTAAAAAAAACAATTTATCATTGTTAAGAATGAGAACTTGATTTGGTGGCCTGAAAAAATGGTGAGAAAAACAGAACAACTAAATACCAACAGTGCAAGCAAGTACTCTAGTTAGCCATGGAAAATGAGCTATAAGTGTTAAAAGCAATGATTCAGGCAGACATGCAGGTCCTTATCCACAGATAAAGAGGAAAGCTTAGTATGAAAATAACATGATCTAAAAATTACCTTAAAATATAACAAATAAGGGCAGTAGGAATCTGATTCTCAAATAAGATTATTTACACCTATACCATATATATATATATATATA